TGAATCCATTATAGAATATTGTGTCGGCCTCTCGAGAATGTACTTTATTCTCAATGAAGTATTCGATTACAAAATAGGAGAAAATCAAATCTGCGTGGTGACATAATTTTTCCCACCATATATAAACAGGCTTCATCCTGGTACGAAGGTTTACAAATAGTTCAAATATAATCATATCGTACGATATTAAATCGTACCATAAGAACCTACACTCCTCTGTTCGTACAGGACGATAGACAGGATGAACAAAACTTGTCTCTGTTCATCTTATGGTAGGATCTACTTCGTATAATATGATGGGGCCAAAATAAGGGATCGTCCAGGACGGTTTTTGGGACAATTAAAATTAGCCTCAGTTCATTGTATTATATGAATATGTTCATACAGTATGATGACCAATCAGAGATTAGTCCTCGATTTAATCCGCTAATAATAGGTTAATTTAAGTAAGTATTCAAATAAAATCATACAGTATGAACTTGTTCGTACAGTACAAATGGCTAATAAAACTTACTTAAACTAATCTGGCGGCTAGGGTTTTGGATTTGTAACACATCATACAGTAAGATAATTTCTGTATGGTACGATTTGTTCACAGAAAATGTTTTAAACAAATCTGATCTTACAGTACGAAATATAGTCGCACAATACGATCAACAGAGAAAGAAAATCTACAATTTTTCTTTTAAAAACCCTCTCCCCCTGTGTGTGTGCATAGTTGCTCAATTTTTATATTTAGTTTATGGCCAGACTCAAGAAAAGAAAAAAAATAAATATAAAATTACAATTCTTCAGACTCATACTCATAATCTAACCAGTCTTGAATCTTCTTATTGTCCTGAGTTATTTATGATCTTCCTGAAATGTTAGTACTCACAGGCAATAATAGAAATCAAATGATATTCAATGAATAGATAGTTCAAGTGACATTATTTGTCCTCATCAAAATCTCAAACTTGGGGTCATGGGTTGCAATAATCTCCCCCTTTTTGATGATGTCAAATAATATTTGTCGTAGGCAAGTTTGAAAGGCATTTTTTTGTTTTTTTAAGAAAAAGAAATGCAATATGAAATAGAAAAAAAGAAAGTGCAATATGAAATAGAAAAAGAAATGCATTCTATTTAAACATCAGAAAACATAAGAGTAGACTACAATAAACTACAACAAACTTCTCCCCCTTTTGACAGCATCAAAAAGAGGAGCAAACAACACTAAAAGAAAATACAATACAGATACACTTCAAAGGGAATGATCCTGATCACTTTGAGGTGTAGGTGGGTTTGGTTGGAAATAGTGAAAAATTGTGTCAAATCGGTGATCAATCATGGTGAAGCGTTCCCCATTAAGAGATCTGTCAAGCAAGCAAATTTATAGAATTTTTCCTAAATCGTACAGTATGATCGAGTATTGTACAGTATGATGGGTAAGAAATGTTATGATGGGTTGTTTTGGGAAAAGATAGTCAACTTGTATAGTACGATGAACATCGTACCGTACGAATAGAAGAATTTTGATCATCCCTAGGATCGTCGGTACGACCTTTGATGAAAAGTTTTGTACTGTACGAAAAAGTGTATTATATAGTACGAACGACAATTATATCATACCAGACATCTTTATGTCGTTCTCATCCATTTTGCTGAGGTAGATTGTACAGTATGAAGTGGAGGTATCGTATAGTACGAACACCAATAATATCGTACCAAATCAAGTTAATTCGTCCCAATACGTTCGCTGACGTGGATCATATAGTATGAAGAGGATATATCATACCGTACAATGATCAATAAAGTTATACCAGATGGATTGAATGGCAGCCAGCTATATCATATAGTACGATGAAGATCGTACAGTACGATCAATAGTGGTGAAAATTGCCTATGGTTGTGTTTTGTGTATATTTAGATGCATCGTACAGTACGATAGTGGATCGTACAGTATGATAATAAAATGAAAATTTTCGTGGTTTTGTGTAGTGAGTGTGTGATGATTAGGAACAGCCTTAGAAGAATCTTTTTTTATGTTTTTGTGTTTTTTTTTTATATTTTATGCATTAATGTCTATGACACTTAATCTAGTCCTCAAGGTGCTAAAGGTGTCGAATGCTAGTGGTTTTGTGAATATGTCAACTAATTGATCTCCTGTAGCGATGTGATGCAATTCTAAATCTCCCTTAGCAACGTGATCACTTATGAAATGGTGTCTAATATCTATGTGTTTCATTCGAGAGTGTTGAATTGGGTTCTTAGATATGCAAATTGCACTTGTGTTGTCTCACATGATTGAGATGGTTCCTATAGGTAGGCCAAGATCAAGAATTTGTTATTTTAACCATAGTACTTGTACAACGCAACTTTCTTCTGTAATATATTCTGCCTCGGTCATGGAAAGGCCTACTGAGTTTTGCTTCCTAGTGGACCAAGAAATTAATGATTGTCCTATGAATTGGCAGGTACCAGAGGTGCTTTTTCTATATACCCTACATCCTGCAAAATCTGAATCCGAGTACCCTATGATTTTAAAGGAAGTGTTGTGCCTAGGATACCAGATTCCTAAGTTCGGGGTGCCTAATATATATCTAAGGATTCTCTTAACCGCAGTTAAGTGAGACTCTTTAGGATCGGCTTGAAAATAGGCACAGAGGCACACACTAAACATTATGTTCGGTCTACTAGCAGTCAAGTACAGAAGGGATTCAATCATTCCTCTATATTTTTTCTAATATACTGATTTTTCACTAGGATCTTTGTCTAATTGAATTGTTGAGCTCGTTAGAGTGTTCATGGGTTTAGCACTATCCATTTCATATTTTTTTCAAAATATCCTTAATGTACTTTGTTTGGCTAAGAAAAGTTATGTTATCCATTTGTTTTATACTAAAGCCAAGAAAACAATTAAGTTCTCTGATCATGCTCATTTCAAACTCATTACTCATAGTTTTTG